TGTAATCATTCTTAAAATTTCTGCTTCCACAATGGCCTCCCAGCTCTATTTTGAGTTTTTCTGTGTTGATGTCATTGTAATTTTCCTTTTACTTTGTTTTCCAAAACAAAAAGAAGAAAGAAAGAAAGAAAGAAAGAAAGAAAGAAAGAAAGAAAGAAAGAAAGAAAGAAGAAAGAAAGAAAGAAAGAAAGAAAGAAAGTAAGAAAAGAAAGAAAGAAACTATCCAAGTGGACAGAAAGTACTTCCAAGGTAGATGTATATTTTATTTAATTGATAAGCATCATTTCAAAACTATCTACTAGTGCAAGAATGACTAAGCAAGAATAAAACAAAGTATGATGCTCACCCACACGATGCTTAATGATGAGAAGGGCGCATGATCCATCCAGGTGGGGTATTGTTACTAACTCCCTATGAGAATGAGAGGGAGCATAATTAGACACCGAGGATGGGTGAGCACAGAGGAAATTCCACTGAAGGACACAGTGAGGTGTTCAATCGCCTACGAGCCAAGGAGACAGGTGCTGGCTGAAACCAGATCTGATATCATCTTGCCCTGAGACATCCAGCCTCTAGAACAGAGAGAAAATTAACTTTTCTGTTGAAGCTACCCTCTCTGTAGTTTTCTGTCGTGACAGCTACAAGAACCCAGTACACAGATCTGAAAGTGATTTACTATGGAACCGCACCAAAATTTTTCTTTAGAAACTTCTTTGGGATACTGAGCAGCAAATAGCATCACAGATAAAGTGAAGTAGAGGTACAAGACACAGGGAAAGAGAACAATGACATGCAATGATAATAGAGTGAGATAAGGAAGGAAAATAGGAAACTAAAGATACAATTATTGGGATTGAAATCCTTGTTGCAAACAGTAAACAGCAAACCACCACTAAAGGAAATGGAACCGGGTGACACAATCTACATGTGCCGCATAAGATTATAATGGAAAAATGCCTGTTGCCCAGAGACGCCATAAGTGACAAGCTCAGAGTGCTGTGCAGTATTCATGCATCTGTGTTGATGCTGGTGTAAACAAACCTACCGTGCTGCCAGTTGTATAAAAGTGTAGCACATCCAGCTACGTACAATACATAATATGTGATCATGGTAACAAATGATTGCTGTTTCTATATTTACTATTTTATGCTTTTATCATTATTTTAGAGTACTGTCTATTCCTGTTTTATTTATTTATTTATTTTGACTGTAAACTAGTATGCTATATCATGCCCACAGCAGCCCCATGCAACTTCTATCAACTTCCTGTCTTGATTGCATCATTTTCTCCTGTACTTGATTTAATCTCATAATATGTTCATTATGACACCTACATGGCTACAAAATCCACTGCTAATGTTGCCTGTAAGAGGCCACATTGAGCCACTGACCTGGACACAAAAGTAAGTGATTAAAGACTAGCATGGAGGAAAATACCTGAGAAGAACAGCCGTGATCATGAAGAACAAGAACCAAAGGACAGAAGTTGTCAAAGGATCTGCTTCACTGGAGGCAATGAAACTAACAAAAATTCAAAGACTTGTGCAAAATATGGAAAAACTTCTGAGAACCTCGACTGAACAGCAAACAGACATGTAGCTTCTCAGCTCCATGACAATTACAGCTAAAGTGAAACATTTGTTTACAGTAAGGAAAGATGGGACTCCTCCCATGACAATGTTAATGTACTGTCACCTCTGGGTGATTTAAGTGACTAAAGAGAGAAAGAGACAGACATAGACACAGACACAGAGAGACACAGAGGGACAGAGACAGAAAAACAGAGAGAGAGACAGAAACAGAGACAGAGACAGACTGGATGTCAAACTGGGGCTTTGGCTAAGAGGAATCAGGAATGGGTCAAAAGAGTAACTAAGCCATTGCTCCTAGCATGAAGAGAGCAGCATAGTTAGCAAGTTGTTATTGATTTGCTGAATGGGCTGAAGTCTGATAATTTCCACTGGCCAAGGGCATGGTTCCAAAGAATGTTTCTTCTTGTGATGGACTTGGACCACCAGATGGTATGGTTAACTCACCCTTGAGACTGCTAGATTTTTAAGTACCTTGCGCCATCATCCTGCACAAAACATCCCAGCTTGTGGGTCTGTGCCCTACGGCAGGACCAAAGGACCTTGCGTACTTGGGCTTTAGAAGCTTCAGAAGAAGCACTAGGGTGCGGAGAGAAAAGTAGAGAGAAAGAAAAACACACACCACCTCCAATGAGCAACAGCTCAAGGTAACCGCGTGTCATAATCTAAAATAAAGCATTTTAAAGTGACTATCAACATGTCTACTTGCACAGCTGCGTAAATCTGACCCAAGGGTCAAGACAGCAAAAGGGTCAGACGCAATGTGAAGACCTAAATACCAAGCTTTTTATCCCATATTACTCACCAGTCAGATTTCTCCAAGCTCAAGTGAACGGTTTGTGTTTTCAGCAAAAGTGGGCCTCAGGTTCCTGGGAAGTAATGCAAGCCACTGTTATCACAACCCACGTGTCAAGAGGTAACCTAGAGCAAAGCTAGTGGGAAATTGAAAACACCTTGCCCAGCTGTGTGACCTCCAAAAGTAGTGATGTTTAAGTTAACATAGAGCAATTGAGGCTAGGGGGCTTCTTCAGGCTTTTCCCTGATAATGGTTTCTCATTTCATGTGAACAGTGTGCCTTTGTGGTTTTACCAGGGGCTCTGTTGAAACAGACCGTGCTACACCCCAGAGTCCTGTCCCACCGTGGTGGTCCCTAACTGTCTGAAGATGACATAAAGGTAAGAGGGAGACTATTAGAGTAGAAGATGGAAAAAGCAAGAGTGATCATGGGGATGGGGGTGGAAATGATCAAAGCATGCTGTATGCATGTAAAAGCATGCCCTATCGAAACTCATTATCCTGTATACCTAATATGCATTAATAACATTTTTTAAAAGAATCGTTATTCATTACATAATGTAAAAGTGAAGGATGGACTGTGAGTGTGATGCAAAGGCAGCTGAGGAATTTTTGGAAACTCTGGATAAACTGATAACAGAGTAAAACTAACTGCAGACTGTGATTGTTAACTGATTAGATCAGCATAGCTCCGGGTTGGTGGAAGGGATTTACTGAAGACAGATGACCCAGCCTGGGTGCTGCCTGGATGGGATAAAAGGAAGAGAAGAAGGAAGGTTTACTTGTTTGTTCAGAGAAGAAGCTCCAGTCTTCATCTTTAGCTTGGGTGTTGTCTCCTGGCTTCCAGAGCAGATGCTACAGCTTCCTGGTACGGACTCACACCGGACATTGCGCTGAGCTCCAGGCCTCTGACCAGATCCCTCAGCTCTTTGGCACTCTTCCACACCTGACTCTGCGGCCGGCCACTGTAAGCAAACCTTGTAATTTCCTATATATTTGTATATCTTGCATTCAATCTGTTTCTCTAGTAAGCACTGACTGGTACACAGACCAAATCTTCAGTCTAGGTGAAGACTTCCTATTCTGAAAATGGGTGCCCCACAGGACTTTCATCCATAAGGAGGCCAAGCCAGGTTTCAAGGCTCTTGAGGACAGCATAAGGGTCTCATTTGGGGACAGTGCTTCAGGCTACAAATTGAAGCCCTTTGTGATCCGGCAAGGTGAGAATCCGGGGCCTTCAAGCGTGTTAATAAGTGTCCACTGCCGGTGTCTGGCAGGAGCTGTAGAAGTCATGATCCAGCTCCTCCTTCACGATGCCTTCCTGCATTGCTGGGCCACCCGGGAGAACCATTTGGGAAGTAATGTGCCTTCCAAGACTTTGCTTGTTTAGGTTTAGGCTTGTTAGTACACTCAGATGTCTGTGACCGCAAAATCACCTAATAACACATTTCTCGCGGTGTAGTCCTATGGTTAAGCAGCGCACTACTATATAAATGTAAGCATTCTTCCAGACTATAGAGGAAGAGGACATAAATATGAAAAGGGTGAAATAGAGATTGCTGATATAAATGATAGCAAATGGAGGTTTCCAAGAAGAGAGAGGCTTCCTGAGGAAGAAACAAAACCGATAAAGCTGAAGAAACAATGATGCCAGTAGACTAACTCACTATATTGAGAAATTTCCAAGTACAGTATTAATAAAAACAGAACCATACCTCATTAGGTTTACTTTTAAGGAAAGGATCCCGACCTCACCTTAAAGTAAACCTTTTGGATTATTGCTGAATAGTTTGTTCACCCTGTTGGATAATTATTTTTTAAAAATTACTGGCACTTTTATGCTAAGAACTTGATAGCAATGGTTAAATAACTGTTCAACTTGTTGCAAACATAGAACACCGTCTTGTCAAGAAATCACTACACATTGGCTTTTTAAGTATTTAACCACATGACTACTTGCTTATGCAGAATGAATTACAGTTTTTACTGGCAAAGAAATAGAAAAATGATATTTTGTACCTCTGAAATCTGTGCTAAGTGATCTGTTCGGTAGGAAACTAATGAACCATCCTCTGGCAGACAGAACGTTATCAAGTCCTCTTGGGGCCTCATTGCATCTTGGAATTGCAAATGACTCCAGGAACCATGCATAAAAATAAACATCTGTACAAGTTTGTAGGCCTTAGCTTTTGCCACATAACTCATTATCCCAAAATTTAGTGGCTTAGAATCACAATCATTTTGTTTGCTGATGTAGGAGAGAAAAGGTAATACTTCTTCATCTTTCTCAAGGTGCATGGTGGAGACTCCTATAACAAAAGACAAATTAACAAAATAACACATGAGTTTATTTAACCAAGGCTTTACATGACATAAGAACCTTCAGAGAAAAAGACTCCCCTGCCCCCAAACCAGGGGAAACTGTATTTTTATGGACAGTCACATGAGTGGAGGACGAGAGGATAGAAATCCTCCTTCATGAATATCTTTTGCTGGGCTGTCAAGGCGGCCTCAATGTCCTCAGCAGATTCCAAACCTTTACCTTTTGTGGTCACTTTGACTTTCGGGAAGAGCCAGAAGTAGCACAGTGCCAGATGTGGAAAAAATGGTGGATGAGGACCCACCAGGCTGTTTGTATGAGCCTGCCTTTCCATTGGAGGGCACTGGGCAGCAGCTTTCACTGTGGTTTTGATCATGCCTCACAAACACACTCAGGAAAGAAGACTTTCAGACCTGCCTCGGAAAGGGGCAAGAATGATGGGATAAGGGTATTCAAAGAAGGAGGAATATTCTGAAGGGTGTTAATGGCAACATGTCTTTTACTGTAATAATTTTTAAATGTAAACATGCTATGTTTTTCAGTTACCCCCTTGTACATAAGAATATGAATATATGGAGACTTGTCCTTTACTGAAGTCCTTTAAAAACATACCCAAATGCTGCAGTTTTTAAAAAATTACTTGAGAGAAACAATTAGATGCGTATTAGGCTCATGAAAGAATTACACATAAAAATGAAAATCAGAAACAATCCTAAATGCCAAATATGAGAGGTTAGCCAAGCAAGCCCATATAATGAGGTATAATAGAATCTTTTTTTTTTTTTTTAATTTCAGTGAATTAAAGAACACTTACTGATATCAGAAAGCGTTCAGGATAAGTCTACGACAAATATTTTTTGGGAAGAAGCCTACCATGCACAAAATTTTCCAGTACTGGCGACTGAACCCAGGGCCTCACGCACTCTAGACAAGTACTTTAACATGGTGCTACATCTTTAGCCCTGTACAATATTTTGTTTATATATATATAACATATGTATAAATGAAGATACACAAATTCATATCATAGGGAGAAAAAAGAACCAAATAAACACACTTAAGTAATGATCTTGTAATATTCTTATATTAGTGGACCTTGGATATATCTGAAATAGGGATGAATATAGCAATCTGGGCTCTGAAGTAAGGCAGACCTGGGTCAAATAATTAGGTAAGTGGGGGGCCCTTCTGTGTCTCCGTTTTCTCAACTATAAATTAGAGCAGGAGCAACCGTTTATGGCTGCTGGGCTCATGTAAAAAGATAATGCAAACTGAAGATGATTAGTATTACTCTGACTTGTTAACTAAACAGTAATTTTTCTTTTCCCCACTTTTGAAGAGACTGAATTACTTTTGGATAATAACAAACTAACTTTAAAAATGTCAAAAGTATTTCTTGAAATTATTGGCCTCAAAGATTTTGCTTAAAGGTGAAATAAGGCCTGTACAGATAGGAACTCAGCTGAAACCAGTGTCACAGCCCTAATTTAGTAAAGGACAAGCTCTCCATTCAGAGGGAAGTTGGGGAAACTGCCCCCCTTTATTGAGATGCCAGCCAGAAAGTGCCCCTGGGACATGGTAAAGATAAAGCACAGAGGGTGCAGGTGGGACATTTCCCTGCACATACCTGCCAGGTACCACAGTGCCCCGATAGCTGGGACATCAACCCATACAGGGTCACATCTACCTCACTGTGGGCTTTTCCTGTGCCAGCAGCCCAGCAGCTTCAACACGGAGTTTATAACAATGTGTCCTGGGGTGGTGGTACACGCCTGTAATCCCAGCACTCGGGAGGCTGAGGCAGGAGGATCCTTGCGAGTTCAAGGCCAGCCTGAACTGCATAGCAAGACCCTGTCTCAAAAACAAAAACAAACAAACAATGTGTTCTGTTTTCCATAGCTTTCGTTAACAGCGTCGCTAGATGATCTGTAAGGGAGGAAAGATTCTTTGCTCATCCATCACAAGGCTCCTATAGCAAAAAGGTTACCAAGAGAAAAGCATACACCTTTATTCAGTAGAAGTGCTATGTGTTATGGGAGCCTTTGGAAATGAGGACCCACAGAAACAAGAAAAACTGCACTTTATGCTAGGTTTGCTAAAGAGTGGAGAATTATGCAGAAGTATGATTAGACAAAGGAGTTGTGATCTAACTTAGGAAGGTTTGCTTGTTCAAATTCTCCTGCATCCCTATGTCTTCAGAGATAAGGCTATTTTTTCTCTGGGAGCCTGGCCTGCCACGGGTCCTTAGGTCCCCTTCCCACGTACGCCTTTAGGGAACCAGCCCGCCCTGGTGCCTCTTGCAGGGACCTAGTCCTGCTACTAGCTTGTTCCCTTGACCCAATGGCTAACGAGGACGAATGACAAAGCAGACGTGTCAGTTTAACATCTTCTTGCCTCTAGGGCAGAGGAGCCCCTAGCCTCTGGCTCTTCTCTCATTCACCTGGACTTGGGCACAAGCAATTAAAGTAACACAAAATGCATCTGCTTTATATTATCCATTAATACCTGCTCAGGTAAACAATTTAAACTCAGCTATACTGACTTCCTCCTTTGTGCTCACAAAGGAGGCCAATTAAGCCTCAGTTGGCCTCTGTTCTCCCACACCCTCCCTCTAGGAAAGGGCCGCTTCTTCCTAAAGAGGGTCTTAAGACTTGGCAGGGATTAGCTGGGTGTTATGTTCTGCTTCAGGGGAGAAGTTTTCTCACATGTGATGGGGTCACATCAAAAGGAGTCCTGCCCCTTTCCTTCTGTGAGGGTCATTTTTTTAAAATTAAGTTCATTGCTACATTTTAGATATAGATGATGACCATATTCATCATAGGGAATTTGTACCTGTACATGACGTATCTTGATTCCTCTTTTTTCCAAATCCCCTCTCCTCCCTTCAACCCCTCTTCTCCTCCTCACTCACAAAGTTTTGTTTCCATTTTATCCTTTTTTGGTGTTTGTTTTTTTTTTTTGTTTTCTCTCCCTTCCTTTCCCCTCCCCCTTCCCTTTTTTTTTTGAACCATTTCTTCAGGAACTGACAAGACACAGAGGGTCATTCTTTCTTGCTAAGTCTCTACCCTCATTTCTCCAAGTCCCCTTGTTGCCCAGAATGGTCACCTATTATTCCATTCTCACTCCTCACTCTGGTCCCATTCCCTTCCTGGAACAGCGACCGCTCACATAATCCTGCTCTTCTCACCTCTCAGCCCAGGACCTCTTCTCTGAGACACAAAAAGGATGTGTATTCTGCAAATAAGAAAAGGCTTTTCTCAAACAACTTACTGCCTGCTCCCATGACTCAGTCCCTACTCGTGTATCCCAGACTCTTACAGCGCAGAGGAACAAGAGATTAGCCCGCTTCCTCTTACAGCTGGGAGTCCTGAAAAGCCAAACGCATTACAAAGCTGCAAGCCTAGCTACTCATAAGCTGCTCCCAGGACAGAGGCTTTGTTGAAAAGGGGACCAAGGGACTGGTTCCCTTTATTGTGAAAATAAAAGAACAGCCTGTTGACAAAGGGAGGAAACATAAAATACAAAGTACACATTGGAAAACATGAAGTCATAATACCGATTCATAGTTATTCCGAGAGGCTGAGCCATCTGCCTTAGAGAATATTGTCCCAGCAGGAAGGAGGAAGTTACCATGCACGCCTACAGCCAGCTCGCCCTCCTGGCCACCCTTATAGGAGCCGCACTGGACAGACACCCTTCAGACTCGCCACAGCCTGCAGGAGGGTCAGTGTTTCTCCCCACAGACCCCTTCAGGAGTCTCTGATTTGTACCACAGATCACCAGAGCCGTGCAGTTGCAAGAAGCCTCTTGCATGTTGCCTGGGCCAGCCATGGATGTTCTCCGTCTTTTTGGTGTCTGGAAAGGGGTGAAGGAGAGACTCAGGGGCAGAAACGTGGAGGAATTGTAGACTTAGAAGAAGAAAAAAAGAAGCCAGATCTTTAGTGTTTTTCTGTGGCAATGTGTAGCTTTCCCCCTATGCAATTACAGTCCAATAATCAACACTGCCATTTCCATTTGAAAGAAATGCACAGTGCATCTTTATACCTGTGTGTGTTAAAACAGAGCTAGGGAAATCTGATTGCTGTCTGGATAAGGTGCTGCCAACAGATTCCATCAACTGAACACCTAGGTGCGACCAGCTGACAGAGACAAGTGTCCCAACCCTGGTGCCTGAATTGAAGCCGACCTCTCCAGTTGGGTCCACTGGAACTGAGGGATGTGATAGATAGACAGCAAGAATCCCCATCCCTAGTATTTGAACCAGTCTAAACACCTGGCTTTTCCGTAAGCCTACTTGAGATATTTTGGAAACAGAGCTACACAAGGTACTATCATGAAGCGAGTCAGAGTTCCCATTAACAAAACCTTTCCTCTGCGTTTTCCCTTCAACGCCCAGGGTCACCTAAGAACCCGAAGTCCTTTTCACCTGTCAGTCACAATAACCTGCTCACAGAAATGGCCTGGTGTTCGTTATGTATGTCTTTCCTCATGTGGATTGAAGTCCTTATGTTATTTCTCCGCGATTTCATGTTTGAGCCTTAGTTTAACTTGTGGATTTTTAAAGGGAAAGAAGTGTACTGGGCACATTTTGGGCATCCTAAATATTTACTCAAGTAAACTTCAGGGATTTCTTTCATACGCTCAACCCCGCTAAACCATAGTAAACTACATTTTTCAAAGAAGGAAGTCAGAGTCTGGGTATAACATTAACCTGGTATACAGGTTTACCTGCCTGTGTGACTAAAGTGTGTGTGTGCGTGTGTGTGTGTGTGTGTGTGTGTGTGTGTGTGTAAGTGAGTCCATCTCTTCCGCATCACCTGCAGCCTCAAAACTGTGCTTTCCCCTGGTGTCCCAAGGTCCACCAGGTGCGCTGTGACAAGCTCTGAAACCGTCCTCAAAGGGAAGAGGCATCCTTTCCTGTTCTTGATGGTCTCAGAGACCCCTGCAGTAAGTCTCATTGTCACACTCTAAACCACAAGTTAGGAACCAAGAATAGTCCAAAATCTTGTTTCATTGTATGGCTTTGATCTCCTTGTTCAGCCGTCTAAAACAGTGGACGGACTCATCAGATGGTGACCGATTTCTCCCTCTTACTATATTAGGAGGAAAGGGGTCCTAAATAGTCACAGTCATGTTAACAGGAAGAAAAAACCCAACTAGGGGGCCAGGGATGTAGCTCAACAGCATAAGCACCTGGCTGACAAGCGCAAGGTCCTGAGTTTAATTCCTGGTACCAAAAAAAAAAAAAAAAAACCAACTAGGTCATGAACAACAATTCAAAAGTTAAATTATCAACATAATGCACCAGGCAGTTTACCAAATACTTCCCTGTCACATTATTCCAGGTACTACATTTGTTCAAAAGATTGTAGTCACAGTAGGAAGAATGTTCTTAATCATTTTTAAGGTCCTTCTGAAAGTAGCTAAATACATTTTATCAAAAAAACAGATGACCTACGGCTTCTTGCCCCCACCCCGCCATACAGCAGAGACTTAGTCAGCAGGCAGTGTCACAATGCGTGTGACTCACAGAACCAGGTCCTCACCCTTATAGACGACCAGAGTTTGAAGGAAGCCCAGGCACCGCTGCGCAGGAGGCTCGGCGTGGTCAGGGTGACATTTCCTTCCCCCGAGCACAACAGGAAGGTACAGTCAGCTGAGCAAAGCCAGCAGCAGCTTCGGCGTCCCAAGTCATCTTCACAAGGTAACTGGTGACCTGGTTTTGTCCCTTATTCCTTCATTTATCAAATCAACCTAAACTGTCCTTGATTTCCTCACTGTTGCTGTTTTTCTGGGATATGGCAGGTCAGAAGGCAGTGAGTGGCGCTGAGTCCATCTCCCCATGCGGTGATCTGTGTGACCCAGCGCCTGCCTTCCCCTCCAGCAGGTCTCTTTGGATGTCCTTTTGCACCCTGGAGTCACAGTTAAATTCACGTCTTGTGGTTGCTTTCACTGTGCCTGACACCTTCTACGAACCCTATGATTGACTGGTACCCAGAGGGGGAACGGCTCTGAAAGGATTACGGACCGCAGATGAGTTTCTTAGAGGAGCAATAGATCGTATCTGTGTCTATCAAATGTCAGCCTACGTGATGTGTACATGTATATGCACACGTGCGTGCACGCGGGCACACACTAAACTGAGCGAGAGAAATGACTGAAAGGAAGCAGGTGATTCCTGAGGATGTACATTTGATCCCTGCATCCTGGGATTGCAGTAAAAAAATCTGCTCAGACGCTCACTCTCCATTTTATGATCCAGCGGTTTGGTACACTGGTACCTTGGTTTACAAACTTAATTTGTTTTACAGTTTGGGGGAAGATGGCTGTGTTTGTGTTTGTGTGGGGGAGATGCCCTTGATCATGTTTGTTATGTGATTGGAAGCAAAATTTTGCAGAATGCTTTTGTTTGTGAACCGAACTATTTGCAAGCAGAAGTATTTGTGAGCTAGACCATCCAGTGGTGGTCTGGCTGTCTTGCACAATTGGGTGATTTTTGACAGGTGTTTAAATAAAACACATTCAATTTAGGGTTGTACAACTGGCTCTGAAATGCCCCACTACATGATTAGTCCAAGGGAAGGCATTGTGCTTTTTGTGTCTTAGTATCCTTTGTGTTGTTAGGTTCTAATATTAATTTTGATTAAAGAAAGGTACAGAAGTCCCAGTGAAAAGGAGTTCTGTGGAAATTAAGCAGGTTGGCAGTATTTAAGTATAGAAGAAGCATACATGTTTCACTGTGGTATTAAAAAATCTTGTGTAAGGAAACCCCCAAAGTAAAAGAATTTAGAATGCTGTTTCTAGATGCTCTCTATTTGATATCTTTTCAGGTCAGTAGTTGATTCATTTTAGGCCATGACTGCAACAATTTAAAAGTAAATAAAAGGCCAGGTGTGGTGGTACACCCTGTGATCTCAGCACTCACAAGCCTGAGACAGGAGGATTGCTGTAAGTTCGAAGCCAGCCTGGACTACATAGCAAGACCCTATCTTAAAAAACAAACAAACAAACAAAACAGGAAAGATTTGACCAACTGCTATTAGCATGATTAACTAGTCTTAGTATTGCTTTCTAAAAGAAAATCCTTTGTGTAGTTATAGGGAAATAAAAATCAAGTGTTCTGTGAGAAACTATATAGAAACAGTCTAATTTCTTATAAAAAGTACGTATCATAAGGACATTGCAACAGTCCTTTTTTTCTTTTTCTTTTTCTTGGTGGTACTGGGAATCAAACTCATGACCTCATGCTTGCAAGGCAGGCTCTGTGGCACTGAGCTATATCCCCAGCCCTGAAACTGTCCTTTTTTAAAAAAAAAAAAAACTACTTCATTCATGTTTAAGGAGCGGAGGAACGTAACTAAGAGAGGTGAAATTAAAGAATTTTATTTTAAGGTTTTTACTTGGAAAAGAAGCATAGGAAGGGAAATTTAAAGAAAGCAGAAGTGAACAAGGACACAATTGAGTGCAGTATTTTCCTATTGCTGGGAACAGGCGGTTCCTAGTTAAGCATTCTTTATGGAAACAAAGAGGACATTAGTTCTCCTTTCTGGTTCCTTCCAAATCTTTGGCTACATGGTAGAGAATTTTTATAAAATGTTTTAATTCCTCTGTCCACTGATGGTGTGTTCACGTCTTCCCAGTTCTTCTCTCTCACATAGCTTAAGAGTTCAGAGATCAGAGTTTTTGTTCTAGCAACTTTCGTGAACAACTTATAAATGACATCTACCCCATGCCAGAAATATGGTGATAATTAAAAGATAAATATTAGATGAATTTTTCCTTGTGTTTTGAGATAATTAGGCCACATTTCTGGATTTGTTTCCTCACCCACAAAATGGAGATGATTTTATTATGGGTTTCCATGGGATGAATATTTACGGAAACTAGAGAAGGGTTTAGAACGTGGTAAACACTCCACAGACCTTAGCAGTTACTATTGCTCCTTCTTGACTTGGTCATCCAGGAATCTCAAGGACCATGTAAGTTCTAGGAGTGCACTCAGAATTTGCCACCCATCCAACGGGCGCCCCAGGAGGGGCTGGGGATTTAGCTCAGCGGCAAAGCGCCTGCCTGGCAAGCGCAAGGTCGTTCGGTTCCTGGTACCGGAGAAAAACCAAAAAAAAAAAAAAAAAAAGGGTGCCCCAGGAAATTATGTTATCTCCCAAACTCAGCAGGGTCAACAAAATCTAGACAAATGCCCTGAGCATTCATTTGATAATTTTTTTTTTTTTTTAGTACTGGAATTTAAACTCAGGATCAGGATCTTCACCCTGAACTACATCCTTCATCTTTTTTTTTTTTTCTTAAGATCTTGGTAAGTAACTAGACTGCCCACGCTGGCTTGAACACACAGTCCTCTAGCCTCGGCCTCCCAGAGCTCTGGGATTACAGGTGTGTACCACAGTCCAATTTGGTAATTTCTAAATTCACAAACAGTGTCATACACAAACCTGGCTTTGCTCACTGCTGCCCATCATCCTGATGAGAAAAGTCATTTTCTAAAAAATTAGAGACATTAATACTTGCAGCAGAATATGAATAATTTTTATAAGTAACAAAACTTTTTGTTAAAGACCATTAAAAAAAAAAAACCTCTTTTCAACGAGATATAACCAAGGAATCAACAACTAAGTTTCCAGAAAAGTAGTTCTGGGTGCTGCGAAGTTCGGGATCCTTAAGACAAGAAGGCCGTAGCCAGTAGCTCTCAACTGAGGGTGGTCTTGTCCCACATGGGACATCTGGCAATGTCTGGTGACATTTTGGTGGTACTGGGGAAGAAGTGCTCCTGGTGTCTAGCACGCAGAGGCCAGGGACGCTGCTGAACCTGCCACAGCACACAGGACAGACCTCACACCATGCCTTAGGTGGCCCCAAAGAGCAAAAGTACTATGGTTAAGAAACTCCTAGCTGGGCATGGTGGTGCATGCCTGTAATCCCAGAACTCGGGGGGCTGAGGCAGGAGGATCGTTGAGAGTTTAAGACCAGCCTGGGCTACAAAGTGAGCTCAAGGCCAGCCTGAACTGCATAGTGAGACCCTGTCATCTCAAAAAGAAAAAGAAAACAAAAAACAAAAAAAAAAGAAACTCACTCCTAGACATGAGCAACACATAAAGCAGACCCCTCAAGAGGTAGAAGTGATGGATACAGCCATAAAGATTGACAGGTTCCGCCTGTGTAGCAGCCATGAAACCACCATAGCACACCAGGTGCGCTCTCAGGTAAATCTCATCACATGGATGCTAAAGAGCATAAGTAATTTGCTCAGGGCTCTTGATGATGCAGAAAGTGCTTTTGAATCACTGCCTGCCTGTCTCGGGTCTGGGTTCCTAACCACTGCTCTCCTGCCTTGAGCTGAGATCTGTCCTCTTACTAAACAAGAGATAAATTGTTATGAGATAAACTGGAAGACGTAAGAGATGAGCAAACAACTCAAGCAACCAAGGTCAGTGCCCCAGTCAGAACTGTCGAGCCCAGGCAGCAACGTCGAGGATGAGCAGAGTTGGCAGAGTGCAGTGGAGGCAGCCCTGTTAGTTGCTGTTACTCATTTACTTCTCAGTGGTCAATGAACCAATCACCCATCAATCAGCTTCTGTGTAGAGGTCATTTTCCCAATAGCTCTGACCAGGCAGTGCTGCTCAGAGATAGTATCTTGGCTAAAATACTCACTAGAGGCCAAAGATACATATATATTGGTTTACAGATGACTTAGTCCAATGAACTAGAGGAATGTGAAATTTAGTGGCTGAAGATCTAGCATTTTAGACAGGTTTTATACCTTAGCAATGGCCTTCACCCCAGAGGAGCACCTAATGAGGACAGCACATTTTAACAGGAGCCTGTCCTTAACCACTTGTCACCAGGGGAAAATGGGTCTGTTTGGGGAAGGAGGAGACTGATAGGGAGGTAGAAAGGATGAGGAGGGGAGAGGGGATGCAACTGCTTTGGTTTGAGTTGTTTTCTCCAGTGTTGGGGAAGATGAGCTCACCAAAAAGCAACTTGGTGTCCAGTGTCACTGTACTCCGCAATCTTGGAATTCGTATCTATTTTGTTCACCCAAAGAAGTCCAGGGAAGTCTTTTCTCAGGAAAAAAATTTTCTTTTTCTTTGCCAAATTTTTAGCCTCATTTTAAAATATAGTCATCCACCAGTAAGTATCTGTGAGGATTAATCCCAAGACCTATCTGTATCTCTTCATCCATGGGTACCAAACTTTACTGGTACTCAAGTTCTTGCATAAAATGGTGTAGAATTTTCATGTAACCTACACATACCCTCCTATATAATTTGAATCATATTTAGATTACAGTACCTTGTGTAAAACCTAGACTGTGTTGTAGAGGGAGTAATGATAAGGATGCTATTCCGTACAGATGCAATTTTTAAAAAATATTTTCAATCTATACTTGGTTAAATCTATAGACATAGAGCTCACTGATATGAAGGACTGATTGTAATTTCAAACTTATGGAAAAGGTGAAAGAATAGTGTAACCTAGATTTCCCACATGTTAACATTTTACCATACTTGCATTTTCATTTTCTATTTACCTATGTGTGTGGTTTGAGATACATATATATATATGTTTTTTCTAAATTGCTTGAAAGTCAGTTGATGACATAACACTTCTTAATCTTGAAATACTTCAATGTATATTTCCTAAAAGCCAGGGCATTTTCTACATAATCAAAGTATAATTATCAAAATTAGGAAATGAATATTAGCACTATATTATTTTCAAATTGATAGATTTTATTTGCATTGGTACAAGTTGACCTAAAAAAATGTGCTTTCTGGAAAAAACAGTGTTATCTAATCCAGGATCCTTGATTGCATTTCATTGCCTTATCTCTCTAATCACCTTTAAACTGGCCGTCCTTGGGCTTTTAACCTTCATGACTGATATTTCTGAAGAGTCATATGTTTTGTAGACTTGGACTATGCTGGTCCAAGCATGTTTAGCTTTGAATTACCTTCAGCAGTTCCTCTGGGGCCTTCCTACCACTGCCACGGGAGGCACATGATGTTAGTTTGCTCCATAATTGTAATATTAATTTTTGTCACTTGGTTAAAGTGGCATCTCTCAGCTTTCTTCGCTGTAAAAAAACACTAGTCTCTTTTTAATTAGTAAGTGTCTTCAGAAAACAGTCTTTGTGGTTCTATAATTACTGTCTTTCATCCAAATTTCACCTGCTAGTTTTAGCATCTATTGATCATTCTTGTCTGCAACAGTTGTTACTATGTCAGCTGCCAAATGCTAATCTTAAAATTGCATCACCGCTTTGACATTAGTTGGCATACTACTTCCAAAGGAAAAGTTTTTTCACCCCTATGTTGTTTACTGATGTTAATCAGAATAAACTCACGTGCTCATTCAGTGAGTTATGGTCTGACCCCACCTCAGTTTTCATGTTCCGTTGTCTCATTCCCAGCCAGCCAGAGCCCTCTCAGCTGCTGCCATGTACATTCCATAGTTCCCCAACATTCCTTGAGTGCTTTATACTTTGTAGCATGAGATGTTCCACATTCATTTTGTATTTTCCCAAACCCAACCCAGCCCTGATATTAGTTTTTCCAAAAACTATGAACATGATATTTAGAATTCAGGCTCTAAGTCTAGGTAAATTTATCGTTATTCATTAGGTAGATCTAGAAAGTTACTTATCTATTTCTATATCTACCTGTGCATATTACAAACCATAAGTTCATATGGATTCTTCCAGTTCAACCCAATTCCATGGGGTCCCTTCCAGCCACCCCCTAACAGTGTGAAGCCTGGCATCCATCATCCACATTGTATTTACTTACTTTCTCGATGTAGAAACTTGTGTTTTCTAGTTACGGTGACACCATGGACTTTAAGTAATTTTATTTGTTCTTATCGAATTATGTATATGCTTTCTGGAGTATGTTCTAGGAAATTGTGGTCTACATAACTATTATAATAACTACTTTATAAGTGAATAATCTTTAACACATGAAGTAAAACTAGAAAGGAATCCTACTCTGCTTAAATCCTATTCTACCAAAACATTAATTTTTTTCTTTTAATACATTAAATAACAGTACATGGTGACAGGAATGATAATCACTGTAATTTTGAAGTAGTGATATATATAAACTGTGTTTTAAGATATCTCTAACAGCCATGTGACATAAAAATACTGGTAACAAAATCACAAGTATTGCAAATACTGCTATACATAGCTGTGACCTCTGTAATTGAAAGATGTATTAAATTTTGGTTACATTTTAAGGAAAATAAAGAGGACATCTTTCTCTCATCTAAAGAGGAAAGACCCCTAAATTCTATCCACATTCCCCTCGGGGTTGTGTGAAACCTCTCTGCCTGAGGAACTTCTGTAGATACCCAAGTCACCTGTGCCTGAATTTAAGCCCCTCGGGCTCCTAATCCACTTTCATACACTGGAGCAGAGCCCACCTTCCTGTTGTTTTCCTGGCCTCCCACCCTTCGCCTGCCCTCTGCCTCTCTGGGGACTTGTGCTGGTCATTGTACTCAGAACATGAAGCCCTGAGGGGAGATAACCCTGTAGGAACAACTATTTCAGACGTTAGAGGTTGCCTGTGGCCAGTGGACTTTTGTCCCAGCCTCTGAGCACCACGGGCAAGGTGCCATGTGTTGATTCCAGCAGCTCAGCCTGGCGCTGCTCAACATTAGCTCAGCTGACAGGGGTCTCAGCTCCTCACTGCAGGGGCCCAGCACTTCAGCCTCCAGGGGCCTCCACAAATCACTTTGTATCCTTGAGCCTGTTTTATCTTCAATAATACATCTTCTCTAACTCAAAAGGATGAAAGGAGACCTTTCTATGAAGGTGCATTGCGTTGGCCCCTAAAGATGTCAGCCAGGATTTTATTTTACTCCCCTGGTTCTTATCCCTGACAAAACTGACAACAAAAAAGTTTCCACCCTCTGCTCTGGAAAACGTGAAAGCCTATAAATTTTTTGCCTTCTTCCCATAATTCTCTGGGGAGTTTGGATTGCAATGAAGGCTACAAAATCCACTCATGCAATATATTTAACCTTTGAATAGTCAATAATTATCAAGTCAGACTTGAGCAAAACACTGTATTAGTTGAATTTACACATATGAACTTCCATTAAAATGTTTAAAAGTAAAATTTCACAAGAGTTTGTTATGACATCTCTTGCATAATTATACATTTTAGTATACATATATATGTGAGAAGAAAAAACCCTGCTACATGGATACTGATTTACAGCAAATCATAATTTTAGCACAGGAAAGATTTGGGGAAACTATATCAAATTATTTAGGCCAAATTAATCTAAAATCCTGTTTTAGAAATAGTCACAGCTGTACCACAAGAATCAGCTAGTTTTCTCAAACTCAATATACTTTAATATTTTCCTCTGGCTTAATATTTATCAATGGATAGTTCTTTTATCCTTCCTTCCTTCCTTTCTTCCTTGCTTCCTTTCTTCCTTCTGTCCTTTCTTTTGTTCTTTCTTTAGCTATAGATCTTTTATGGGAAAAAAGACTAAACCAGAGCCTAAAATCTTGAGAAGTAAAGAAGACCTGTTACAATGAGTTATTTAATCTAAATTACTATTTTCCTTATTCAGAAGTAAAAATGAAGTATGTGTGTTTAAAATTCTATCTAGTGTATGACTCTATTCTTTATTACAGAAGGAAATATTTACACATACAGAAAACAAACTGAAAGAAAATTCACCAAACTATTCAGAGTCAAATGTGATCATCATTACTACCTTTTTTCTGTATTATTTTTCTTTTTTTTACTATAAGCAAGAGTTGCCTTTACAGGCAGAGAAAAAAAATGAATAATTTTTTGAAAGGGTTGAAAAGAAAAACCAGAAAATATTATAAGAAAATAAAGTTCAACATTTATAAAATTGCTTGGTCTTACAGCTCATTTTTGAACATAATGTCTGTGAGAAGTCATGATTTCAGAAGCTTCCACAAGGTCTAAACTTCAATTCCAGCCTATTTATGGTGCTCTGTGAGGCATCCAGGTACTATTGATCTTTTCTTTGGTCCTTCTTCTCTCTACCAGCTAAGGAGACAACATAGGTGCTGCTGTGTGGGAAGAAAAATCTCTTTCCCTGGGGCTGCCGTAGGGCTGTGAGTTGGGAGGCTGGGCCTTCTTAATGCTCAGACCTGAGGTGACCGGGGAAGAGCCTGCTCTCAGGACCTGGTTAACTTCTTCCTTCTGGGTGGCTCGCTCTCCCAGCCACCAGGTCCCATGGTAAGAGCCATACATCCTGAGTAGAAACGCAGGTGCAGGCTTCTGAAGCAAAGGGAAAGGAAGCCCTCCTCCTGTTCAAGTGTAGGCCTTCAGATGCCCTTATCTGTGACAAAATTATTTTCCAGGTTGGAATGGTTACACTTATGGCCAAAACCTCACTATTATAATAGACATTTATTAGCTTCACTGCGATCTTTGTATATGTGACTTTTTTTTTCCCTCACAGGAGGCTGGTGTCCACAGAGAAGGGAATTTGAGGATTTGGATACTGGCTTGGGTGCCTTGTCGGTCAGCTTGTCTCTCTCACTTGTTCCTATCCACCTTCCTGCTTCTCACTGGACTTATTGGTGGCCTCCACTTAGTACTCTCTCAGTGAGTTCTAACGCCCTCAGAGCTGGGTTAAAGGTCAACATTAATTGGGTTAAAATCAGAAAATGGAAACCAAGTTGAGAATGCTTTCTTAGTCACAACACAGAAAGCTCTCCTTTTCCTGACAGTCTGGAAGCAGCTGGGAGTCTGATAGAATAAGTCAGATTGATTGACATTTTCTAACAGATTTTGCTCTTCGATTTCGCAAAATGGCAAGAGGCAGGATTTTACTGTGAGTCTTTCAGATGGACGAGTTCACATGTGAGATTGATGCCACCACCACACGCAACTGCAGTTGCCCACATCCGCCCAGCGACCTGGGTCAGCTTTGCCATGCTCTGCCTTCTCTCCGTCCCATTTAGTTTCTCTGAATTCTACTTGGTAGTTTTCCTTAAGAACGATTTTCCTTTAAAACAACTATCTTCAAACAAACAACAAGAACTATTGTACTACTTTTTTACACTTTCTATTCATCCACTTGAATGCGTTAAAATATCTCAAATTTACCAAGCCCAGATTGTACCTTTGTGGCTCTAATTTATATTTTTTTCTTTTAAGCACACAGGACATCGTCTTCTCATACTGTGCAATACCGGGAAACAATGTTTTTGTGGCTGTTAGCCCTCCTGATCCTCTGCGCCTTTCTGTGGAATTGTAAAGGACGACTGAAGATTGCGGGCATCAGTGATAAGTACATTTTCATCACCGGATGTGACACAGGCTTTGGAAACTTGGCAGCCAGGACTTTTGATAAAAAAGGATTTCGTGTCATTGCTGCCTGTCTGACTGAATCGGGATCCTCAGCTTTGAAGGCAGAAACCTCACAGAGACTGCACACGGTGCTTCTGGATGTAACTGACCCCAAGAACGTGAAGAGCACTGCCCAGTGGGTGAAGAACCAAGTTGGGGAAAAAGGTGGGAGATGTCGGGGTAGGAAGGATGCAGGGATAGGGAAGTAACTAGAGCAAAACAGAATGCATTCAGATTTTAAATGGCCTTTCGAGAAAATATCTCCCAAATACCAGCTGTGCACTTCTCCACTCTTAGGAGAGCATCTTGGTACTTCCAAGCCACAGCCACCCTGTGTACATGAGAGACTTTGCCCAAATTATGCTCAGTCTTAAGTCCCGGTGAGTGAATTTAGAGCAGGGATGAAGGCAATGGCTTTCCCTGGTTTTCTCCTGGGAGGTGTTTCTCCAGCCACATACATGGCAAAGGGAGTTGGGGTTAAAATCTACAGGAAAATGTGCAAATAATCCTGAAGTGTCCATCTGCATACCTCAGATCCACTTTTCACTATAAAATAGCTCCAGAGCTCACACAATTTCAACAGAAATGTAGGAAAGGGCCAGCAAATGTGAGCACCAGCCTTAGTCACAGCGGAACAGTGAGCCAGTGGACACTGAGTCTGCAGTGGATTCTGCAAAGATGGCTGCCTTCTGAACCAAAATGTTTTATTGGCTTTGACTGAGGCTTGAAATACACTCATAGAGAGAGATCCTGGGATTCCCAAAGGAAAACAAACAAACGCATGTGTGTTTTCTCAATCACGTCTTTGTCATATATCTGAGACTCAGAAGCACAAATGTGATAATCTGCTAAGGCTCCAGACAATTTTTAATTCTTGAATTCCAAACATCTTTTAACAATATTAAATGTTTCCCCTCAGAAAAAAAAAAAAGCCAAGTGAATGACTGCATTTTTTACCAGAAAAAAATGAACATACGTAGATTGGTATCCCTCTTTGTCATACAGACAATTTTATAGATATTCTGTGGCTTTGCCATCTAGCAAGGTAAGAATAACAGACTAATTTACATTTGAGAAGAAAAAAAAGCAAAAGTTTCACTCAGAAAGTACCAGCATTTGACATTTAGAGCCAGAACTAGAAGAATTGTGAGACTGAATTCAAGCAACAGAATTTCAGCTGTTTCAATCTAATCTCCCTCTCCCTCTGCTATCAGTTCAGAAATTGCGAAGTATTTCAAAACGGGGATCTGAGTGCAAGGAGGAAGTGTCACCGCTGTGGAAAGCAGAGGACGGGCCCATACAAATACCACCTGCTACCACACCTCCTTTCCTTCTTCTCTGCTCTAGGTCTCTGGGGCCTGATCAATAACGCGGGTATACTGGGCGTGCTGGCTCCCACAGACTGGCTGACAGTGGAGGACTACAGGGAACCTATCGAAGTGAACCTGTTTGGACTCATCGATGTGACATTAAACATGCTTCCCTTGGTCAAAAAAGCTCGAGGGAGGGTTATCAATGTCTCCAGCATCGGAGGTCGGCTTGCATTTTGTGGAGGGGGATACACTCCATCCAAGTACGCAGTGGAAGGATTCAATGACAGCTTAAGGTAAAGCAAATTAACTAGCTTAGGAGATAACATTCATTGAATGCTTCATATGTACCAGGCACTCTATTTAGTACCTTAAGTTCTTACTACTTTATAGATGACGCCAGTGAAACTAAGAGAGATTCAGAAACTCACTCAAGGTAACACTGAGATTTGAGCCCAAGTCTATCTCTCATTTTTACTTTTGCATTAATGTGTGATACTAATAGTGGTGGTGAATTTTTATTCAACAGGTCAGTTTGCAAATAAGGAATCACATAGAGAGCCTAAATCAGGGTGTGTGTCTCCATTGTTAATGGCAGCTGCAGACACATTGCCATCTTGTTTCAACCTTCAGTAGAAAAGCATCATTTCCCAATGAGCTGCTCAATGCACTCTGTCCAGTTTTTGTAGCTGCATTCGATGGGAGAGGCGGGGAGGGTGTACTTAATCCATATCACATGGAATCAGAGCTTATTACTATAAATTCAAAGCCCTAAATTGTAAGTAGTTCTTTCAGTCAAGGTTCTTGAAGGAAGTGGTAGCACGTTAAAATTGGGTAAAGGGGGTAAAGTTTACTTAAAGGACTACTTACAACCATGTGAGAGGTAGGCGTGTAGGGAAATCCCCAAGCATACTGTAGTATCTAGGGGCTAATAACAACAGGGGCATTTCTGTCCTTGGGACTGAGGGGATCAGGAGGCAGGGAAGTCTCCAGAGCAGGAGATGCAGTGGCTGTTACATTCCACTGAGGGATGATATAACCAGGGCTGGCATCACAGGAGGAGGAACTTCCCCTCTTGCCCCTGATCTCCCACTGCCACTTCTAAGCTATTGTACCACCCGAAGCCAGATTACAGATAACAGGTCCCCCTCCAGGATGTGGTGCTGGTAGGAGGGGGAAGAAAGGGAGTGGAGAAGCAAACAACAGCTCTTCAGCCAAGTGGTGCTGTGAGAGGCCATGCAGCCATTTACTTATGCAATGAGTATTTGTTGAAGCCATATATTAGAGTTTATGATCTATACCATGGCTCTAGGAATAGTTTACTAATAAAGGGTTAGATTATTCCTTTGACATTGGTAAAGATAGACCAACTCTCTTTTGCCATGTGATCAGGTTGCCAAGTTAACTCTCCTAGGAAATAAACACAATAGTGGTAGAAAAATGCTTCCAAAGCACTAATGTAAATTGGAGAATCTTGTTAAAATCATATTTGTTGGTAGTGGGTCTGGGATGGGGCCTGAAATATGCTTTTCCAACAGTCTCCCAAGGAGATCGTGTTAGGCAAGTCATACAGCCAGTGGCGCCTGATCACAGTGAGTAACAAAGTCATGGAGAATTTCCATGAATCTCCTTGGTTGACCTCTGTCTCCACTCTTCTCTTAGTTACTTTTGTCATTGCTGGGACAAAATATACAAAGTTCAAGAAGGAATATAATAAAAACCCCGGTGGAGGGTTTGGGTCTCCCACCCAGCAATATGGCCCATGGATGCAAAATAAAGACAAAGAGAGAAAAAAAGTTCTGCAGTTGAGGAGCTTGGGGATGGCCAATGTTCTCTGTAGAATAAAAGGCCATGAGTCCAAAAACTCCATGGCTTTTATTGGTCTTAGTCAGGGAGGTGGGTAGGGGCTGCAGCACTGTGCTAAAGAAAAGAAACTTTACAGACATCGGTGGCTGGAAGAAGAAACAGAGCAATTTTGTACCAGGCACAAATGCCTCCAATTAGCAATACAGTGGATAGCCTGATGTACACAAGGCTGGCACCTTTACTGCCAGGAAAGTATAACTCTTTCTGAGTTCCATGGCCTCAGCTACAATGTTACCTCATGTCTTAGCCCTGGAATCTTACAGGCTCTTGCTTGAGTCCCCATTCCAGCCATCAGCAGGCGGGCAGTTCTCACCCACATGCTGTAATGAGACATGTTGGCATCTCTGCTGAACTTGATCACATTCTTTTAGCCAATTAAGGTAACATCTGCTTCTATGTAGCCAGCTGTGCATACCTCAGTGAATAGGGTTGAAGTAAAGGTCAGGGAAAGATGGAGGCAAAGAGCTTCATTTCTCAGGAAAATGCAGCTTGGTGGTCTCCCACAGAGGAAAGGTTTATTTAGCTCACAGTTTGTAGAGGTTTCAGTGCATAATCCACTGGCTCCAAGACAGGGTAGCACATGGCAGAAGGGCAACTATTCATGGCAGAGGACAGCAAAAGCAATGAGAGACAAACCTCTTTTTGTCCCTTCTATTGTATCGTCTCCCAGGATTAGGGCAGTGCCAATCCAATCAGTGAACTGATCCAGAAACCACCCACCCTTATTTCCAGCACCCTTAATCCTAGCAATGAACCACGAGTCAATCATACACTCTAGATTCAGCCAGCCCTGAAAAAAGGCCATCCAAAGCTGTATAAGGCTTGGGGGAACATCTAGACAAAACCCTTAACAATTTTCTAAGCAGCAATTACAATAAAGTTTTAGTAGACTTAGAGATGTACTCACTTTTAAAACTGAAATGTTTATGGAATTTGCAGGGCAGTTAGACCATGCCTGAAAGTAATCAACAAAGTATGTTGATTATTTCTTTATGTATCATGGAAGTAGTGTTGGGAATGGTATTTTGCCTGGGGTGCTATAGTAGGGTTCAGGGCAGCAATCCAACCAAGAGAGAGGATCAGGGCTCTTTGAAACTCTATTTGCCCAGCAAGCATCTTGGTTGCATACTGCTTTTACTTATAGTCATACCTTGTGACTCATTGGCTTCAGAACTCACCATGTTTTGTCCAGTGTGAGGTGTCTGGATCAGTCTCAATATATCTCAGGAACTGTGTAGAATCCCACATTTGTCCTTGCTGTCTTGGACCTTTATGCAATTTAAGTGCTGATCATGGGTCACAGAAAGGTGAGAGTAATATCACTAAGCCAAAAAGGTTTATATTAGCCCAGTGAAAGGTTAATATTAGCCCAGTAAAATGTGGAAGTTCTGGGCACTTTCACAAATTATTTGTAATTATTGTGCATTATTTCCAATGGGAAAACGTCATTTGGTACCCTTTGGAGTCAGCATTCATCATGAGTTCTGGAACAGACTGATGACAAATACCTAGGTACGACTGCACCAGGTAAACTTAGTGGGGTTTGTCCATAGATTGTATGTTATTTTCGTGAGTGGAGGGGGAGACAGGTCTTTCCAAAAGCTTGCTTGGAACTGCTGTTTCCAAGATCTAACAAACTATACATTAGTTATGTTGCTAGAAAACACAATCTAAAATAAATCAAGTCATCCTTTAAGTTCGCTAAATAAAGCTTTTTTTAAAAAGTCAGATTTCTGTAACATGGGTAATTACTTCCTTATACATGTCTGGTGAAAATAGACATTAAATTTAGGAAATCATTATTGCTATGATTATGTGGTTTGCCATACTTCTTTTGGCTTTAAAGGAATGGGTGCCGTGACTCCTCCAAAACCTTAGTGCCCAGTGAATGAGTGGACTTCCAGTCTTCTGCAGTGGCACAATGCAAAGACTTGCATAGGGATCAGGAAGGGCACATCGCACTGTGGCCTGCAGCTTATCCTCATTTGCACTGCAATTCTTCCAATTCCTAAAACGAAGCAAACCTGTCTATCCAGCCAGTCCTCGGTCCATTTCACCAGAAGGCACTTCAAGTACTGGAGAGATAGCATTAACTCTAATGGTTAATGCTCTTCCATTTAAAGAGGAGAGCATGGCTTAAGCAGTGAATGCTGGACTGGTGGTAGGGGGTGTCCATCCTACTCCATTCCTGTTCTTACCACCTTCACTTTACCACCTTGATCTTTAGTTTCTTCATCTTGCACGACAGGGTAGAAGATGAAGCTTCTTTCCACAGCACCCAGTTCTGTGGTTCCATGAAAAGACAAATGAGAAAATAAGTGTTCAGATAGCAAACATTCCCCAAATTGGATTAAACATCAAAATATATGGGGCCGAGGATATAGCTCAGTGGCACAAGTGCCTCCCTGCCAAGCACAAGGTCCTGAGTTCAATTCCTGGTACCAAAATAAAATAAACATCAAAATATAAAAATAAAATAGGGGGTAGGGATTTAGTTCAGTGGTAGAGTGCTTGCCTGGCATGCACTGGATTTAATCCCCAGTACTACAAAAAGAAAAGAAAAATAAATTTTAAAAATAATAATATAAAAACCACCTTCACTGTTCTTTTCACAGACGGGACATGAAAGCTTTTGGTGTGCATGTCTCATGCATTGAACCAGGGTTGTTCAAGACACAACTGTCAGATCCAATAAAGACAACTGAAAAAAAACTTGCCATTTGGAAGCATCTATCTCCAGACATCAAACAACAATATGGAGAAGGTTACATTGAGAAAAGTGAGTTTCTGGGTGAATCCAGGGTCCTCTGGGACTCACGGTCCTTGGCAGCATGAAAGAGACCAAAGCAAATGAAAAAATAAGGTTCCTAAAGGAACTCATCAGTAAGGATCTTATGGATGGATCCAGGGTCCCTATTAACTCTGTGTCATCTCTTACTTTTCTGACTGTTCATAATTCTTTACTGAGCATTTACCACATGCCCAGGTCTATGCTAAGCACTTGTGAATTATATCATTTACTCCTCAAAAGAACTATTTTGGAGAGTGGACGAAGGAAAACTATCCTAGCCATGATTAAACAACTTTTCCTGCTCATACCAGGATTCGAGTTCCGGTAGGGTAGCTGTGAGGCTCAAGGTCTTCGTCACTGCTCTTAGTTCTGTGTGTGAAATACCAGTCTCTCCTCAGCACCGCTGAAGGGTTTATACAGGTTACAAAAGATACAGAAGACTCAAACTCTGACACGACCTGGTTGACAACATAAAGTAACCAAGGGATACTGAGAAACAGTGAGCCTAGACAGCCCCAAAGAAATTGACCCCTCTTGGAGACAACCCAACAACGCAGAAGTGGTGCTAGATGGTGTGGCTTCTAATCACCCAAAGAATTCACACCAGGAAAAGAGCCTTGCTGATTAAGAGATCTTCATGAGACAGGTCAGGTTTGAATAAGGCCTAAGAAGCAGGAAGGAATTATTTAAGTGAAAGATTTCTGGAGGAGGAAGCTACCCAGGGGGAAAGGGAAGAAAAGTTAACATAGGCAAAAGACTGAATCAGAACATAAAGATTACATAATGCGGATTAACAGTGTGAACGTGTATCAGGTGCCTATTACCATTCTAAGTGCTTTATACAGATTCCTAACTTACAAGCCCTCCACATACTCTGTGAAGCAGGTGCTATTATCTCTTTCATTTATAGAAATGGAGGCACAGAGAAGTAACTTACTTAAAAATAAAGAACAAGCAAGTGGAAGAGCTAGATTCAGACAAACCCTCTCAGCCTGACTCTGCCATGTATTCTCGGGTAGTACCGCATTGTAACATGAACAAAGCCTCTGGTCACACTCCCTGTGCCAGCGCCCCTCCAGCTCCAACGTCCTGGCTCTGCTAACTTGTCCTTGACGTTCCTCAAACACTGACTGAGCTCCTGCTTTAGGCTGAACAGGTCCCACCACACTCTGTGTCATTCTGTGCCTCCAACTGTGATCACGCCTCTTCATCGGTGCGCTTGGAAAGACCGTGAGCTGTGGCCAGGTGCAAGGTCAGGAGTGTCAAGGTGGAGCCAGGAGTCAAGTCAGATGCACCTGGGAGGTTTTCTAAATGACTGACACCCCCAACACCACCATGCCTCACACGCACATGTACACGTGTGCGTGCGCGCACACACACACCCACGCGCACACACACCATACAAACATATATAAAATTAAAATGCCTGATTTGACAACCTTCCTGCTGATGTCTCCCTGTAGGCTTAGAACCACATCCATCAATGTTCTATTTTTCACACACTGACTCTGAGGATTTTAATTAGGTTCAGTATAAGACTAAAATTCCATTTAATTTTTTAAAATTTTCATCATAACTGTACATATTTTGTAATATTTTAATACACTTTCATGAGGTGTACTGATCAGATTGGAGTATCTGATATATTGATTACATCAAACATTTATCATTTCTTTGTGTTGGGAACATCCAAAATTCTCTCTTCTCAGAAATATCACAGCACATTGAGCCTGCTTTTATACCAGTTGTTCCTATTAAGTTTTTCCAGGTCAGGACCTAGAGATCAGCCTGACTTGTAGTGCCAAAGTAGACCATAATGTAAAGTCAGGTGTTGGTGGGATAGTGCGGAGCATAGCTGCCTTCCATAATGTAAAGTCACCTTCCTTCACTTCCGTGGTTATGGTAGTGTGGTTTAAAATAGCCACTAATATTTACTAAGTTCTTTGACTGATTTGTGGCAGCAAGATTTAATGTGGAAAGGAAGAGCTCAGATCATAGATTTTCCTTTGAAAAGAAACAGCTCAGATACCTTCTGGGAGCATATGAGAATCCTATGGTATTCTATTTGGAAATTTTGAGGAACTCACATAACATTGTCCATGCTGGCCGTTTTAATTTACATTCCTACCAACCTTACGCAAGGGTTCCCTTTCATCCTTGAAACCACTTGTAATTTTTGGTGTTTTTATAACATTGACAAGTACGAGTTTACACTCCCATCGTGGTTTGCACCTCCTTGATGATTAGTAATGTTGAATATTTTTTCATATACCTGTTGACATTTGTCTTCCCTTTGAGAAATCCCTATTTAGATCTTTTCCCGATGTTTAAATCATACTATTTTCTCTTTAGAGAACTGTGTTCCTTTTGTGTTTCGGATATTCGCCCCTTGTCAGATGTATGATTTGCAAACAATTTTCCCGTTCTCTGAGTTGTCTCTACATTGTCTTAGCTGTTTCCTCTCCTGAGCAGATGCACAGATGTTCCTTTTAGTTTGGTGCAATCTTATCTATCTTGACATTTGTTCCCTGTGTTCAGGGGTAAAAAATGATTGCTCAGACCAATGCCAAGAACTTTTTACCCTATGCTTTCTTCTAGTGGTATTACAGTTTCAGGTCTTATGTTTTAAGTCTTTATGAGTTGATTTTTGTATGTGGCATCAGGTAAGGGTCCAATTTCATTCCTCTGAGTGTGGATATCACTTTCCCAACATCATTTATTCTGGAGACAAGGACTCCAGGCTTTACCAGTTGCTTGTAAAATACCTGCCTTCTTGAAAGGATCTTAGCAGCTCATTATTTCACTGCTTCCTTTGCCCGAGAACTGGGATACTTGGGCTTCCTGACTCGGTACATATGTGGATTCTTTATTCACAGAATCACAGAGGCGAGCGGTACATGGGTGCACTCCCACATCCACACTCCTGTGTACACACATGCACATCTACCATACTTCTACGTACATAGTGCTCCCCTGAAACGAATTAGAATCAAAACTGTGGCTTCCTAGAACGTAAAATAACTTTCCTCCATTGCTTTAAAGCAACTCCTCAAAGTTTGGTCCGAGGACCAGCAGCAATACCATCATCTAGAAACTTCTAAGAAATGTAAACACCTGGGCCCCACCTCAAGCCTACTGACTTGGAAACTGGATTTGAACCCAGAAATGTGGATTTTTAATAAGTCCTCGGGCAGATTCTGCTGCCCGTCCAGCACTGAGAACCTAAAGATAGCACTGCTGCGTCCTTTCCTGAGGAAGGGCTAGAAACATCACAGCGGGCCTCAATTCGGATGACAAATTCAAAATAAACACTCTCACATAATCCTCCCCTTCACACCCTACCTCCATTCTGCTTTTCCTCTTGCAAAGAATCATGTGCTTTTTTTCTCCTTTCACAGGTCTAGACAAACTGAAAAGCACCGCGTCCTGTGTGAACGTGGACCTCTCTCTGGTGGTGGAGTGCATGGACCACGCTCTGACAAGTCTCTTCCCGAAGACGCGTTACACTGCTGGCAAAGACGCCAAAGCTTTCTGGATACCTCTGTCTCACATGCCAGCAGTTTTACAAGACTTTTTATTGTTGAAACAGAAAGTGGAGCTGGCTAATCCCAAGGCTGTGTGATTTCAACTCATCACAAACGCCTGGCCCGGGGCTATGAGACTGGCTGATCTCAAGGACACCTCTCCTTTTCAATCCCATTTCTTTTTTTTTTTTGGTACCGGGAATCAAACTCATGACCTCAGGCTTGCCAGGCAAGTGTTTAAGACGCTGAGCTACATCCCAGCCCCTCAATCCCATTTCTTGGTGCAACCTGGACTCATCTAGCTCATGCTTCTCTTTAATAGAAAAAGGAGCTTCAACATGCCAGTGTTCTCCCAGGGTCCCTTCTCAGGTCTTCTTGCACAATAAGGACAGAGATGGCACATCATATAGGCCAGCCCTAGCCAGGCGTGATGGCACACCCCTGTAATCCCAGCACTCAGGAGGCTGAGGCAGGAGGATGATTGTGAGTCTGAGACCTGCCTGGGTTACAAAGTGAGCCCAAGGCCAGCCTGAACTGAATAGCGAGACCCTGTCTCAAAAAGACCAAACAACAGAAACATAGGCCTGTCCTGACCAATTTGAGACAATGTGTGCTTGGTGGGATGGAAGACAAATTGGAAGACATCCTTACCCAAAAGGATGACACACCTGCCCGCCCCATGTTCACTGAGTGACTTAGCATGTTCAATATTGTCTCTTTTCAAACTATTGAGCAATAAGTAGAATATTTTCATAAGTGGATTAGACATTTCTGTTACCTTGCTGAGAATAAGACTCTGAAGGACTGGAACTCAATTGTGATAAGCTTTGATAGGAAAAGGAAAATGAAGAGAGATAAAGTATCACGTGACACCAATATAAACTAAAGGGTGGCCAAATTCAACATTCTTTTCCGTCTTTTTGGAATATACATATTCCTTGTTTAGCAGTCTACCTGTGTGACGACTGTTTGAACATAAGACCAAGACACACCATTTGGACTTACAATCCATCGCTTGGACTTATGACCTGTTTTTATTTGTGGGCAGTTCTGTACATCTTGTTTATACAGCCTCAATGTCTTTTTTGTGTACAGTACACCTTGTTTTACAGCACTGTAATCCTTGTTGCTTGAACTGTACAGGACAGTTACTACACTTTTATGTTCTGTCATATATTACGGCATTGCATTAAGAGATGCAAATAAAAGCAAAGTCATCAACTTGGAGTCTCCTTTGACCATTTCCTTGTTCTGAATATTGTAATGTAAATGCTATATACAACTCCTCATTTAGTGATCCATACATTTAATGACCTGGTCACCGGAGCAGAAGTCGGTCATTAAACAAGGCATGTCATGGTGGTT